TTTAAAATAGATACTTATCATTTTTCTAACCATAATGAAACCATGCTCTTAAAGAAAATCTAAAAAATGTAGGAAAATGTAAAAAAAAAAAACTAAAAAGATACCTGGTACAAAAACAATCACTTAAAATTTCACTTTATTTCTATCTAGCTTTTTCTCCATGAAAAAAATATAAATATATTGCTTAGTTGAGATCATGCACACGTTTATAAATATAGTGTCTATCTATCAACAGAGAGAATGCCACTGACTTCCCTCACTATTAGGCCACAGGAGTTTTCATGTAGGTAAAAAATTCCCTGTAAATATGATTTAAAATACAAAATACTCTGTTATATGAAGGGGCCATGATTTATTTCATAGTCCCACCTGAATGGCATATAATCCCACAAAATACACAGGTTTCTTTTGCTATTATAAATGGCCTTACTCTGAACAATTCTGTGTGCTTGTATTTGTTCATATTTCTGATTATTTTAGGATCACATTCTAGATGTGGAAACATAGAGTTAATGCATTCAAAAGAGTTATCCAACCTAAAACATCAGTAGTACTCAAAAACATTAGGTCCCTTTAAAAAACAAGTAATATCAATACTACACATCAGACATTTCAACAACAGTTCTTTAATAGCATTAAATTGCCAGTCAATGTCCATAAGGTTCATAAATTGTGATAGTGAATGTGCCTTGTATTCTATTAATCTATTAATAGAATTAATCTATTAATCCATACCATTAATCTATATCCACTCTCAGTTTTTTTATCCTACATAGTAACTGGTTTGATGAAGAAATAACATTTAATTCTCACTGTAGATCTTCCCGTGGTCTGTATTTGGACACTTTGTGGTGTAATTTATGTTTCTTTTTCCCTCTTATTTCCTCTAAAGAGATGCTTAAAGCAGAGTTTTCTGTGGTCCAGGTGTGATTATTTGGGTAGGAATACTCATAAAAGTTATTGTGTTCTTTCTTGGGGGGCACAGATGCCCAAACGATTCCCCTTTTTGTGAGCCATTCATCATCACCACTGATGAGCACAATCTATGTTTATTTTTTCACTGGTGGCTCAGTTTCTCTTCCTTTGGGATAACCAGGTATGGAATGATACCAGATTGGAAATGCTAATGACCATTTGAAGCAGCAACAGTTGGTGTAAGAGTAAATTCAGCAAAGCGAGAACACTCTTGGCATCATTTGAATCCTGGATTCCCCTGTGCCTGAATGGACATCAGTCTCCCAGTATATAAATACGGTCTGAAGTTTTTATGGAGGGGAATTTTACTTAGCTTAATTTTGTCTGGGTTCCTTTCTCCTGTCATCAAAGGATTTCTGATTAGTACAATATAATTAAATTAGAAAGAATTTAATTCTTTATATTATTTCTTCCTATCCAGAAACAAAATAAACATTAATTTGTTGAGTTTTATATCACTGGGTAAAGTTTTGCAGTTTTCTTCCTAGAGCTTTCTTACCTATTATTACAGACATCTGGGCATATATTTTTGGTTTTACTGTTAATTCTTCTATCATAGTTTATAACTGATTATTGCTTTTATATTGAAAATGGATTTTGTATATTTATGTTCTGATTTTGCATTTTAAGTATCAACATTTTTAGCTGGATTTTCAGAGGCTTTTTAGTTAGAAAAGATAGTGATCATAAATACCCCATTTATCAGTTCTGCATCTTAAAAATATTGTCCTGAATTTCCAGAATAATTTGAGAGAATTGTGGTGAGAAGATGGTGATTGCTGATTTGCATAAGTGCATCTTGGTGCTTTGCTCTTGCGTGGGACTTTGTTTTTTGCATCTTTTTTCAAAGAACTTCTCGCTCCTCTTTGATACTGCCATTAATTTATTTGCTCATAACTGAAGCCAACTTTCTGCCTAATTTATTGCTTCTAGCTCTCTGGGAGCCTGAGAACAGGAGAATCAAACTATTTAGAATTAAATACAGAATTATATTTCTTCAACTGAAAAATGAATGTAAGTACCCTTTTCAAATTTGTGCAATGATTCAATTAATTAATGCATATAGACTACTTATCTGACATATAGTATCATACAGAAGAAATAGGCCCTGAATGAGTCTTCTATGTACAACATAGAAAAATTAATATAATCTTAGTAATTTTAATTTTGGCTGTATTTATTTTCTTACAGTTTCTGAATAGTTGAAATTTCTATAGAAGCAAATTATCACACAGGGGAATTTTTTACACAGGTGGGGATAGTAATTTGACTAAATTTCTTCAGGCTATGCAGAAATGCACATTTCTATGAAATTACTTCCTCAATTATAATACTTTTCCAATCAGTAAATCTGATTGTGATTTAAAAATAATTTGTTAGTAACTAGAGATTGATGGTTATAATTCTTATGTACATCAACTGGCTATAATCTGTTCTTAGTTTTAATAATTTAATTTTTTAAAGTAGAATGACAATCTTAAGGCAAGGCAATTTTAAGGTAGAACAAATGATAGCCAATGCCTTTTCTTACAAGGCCTTACAGTGATTTTCCTAAAAGAGAAGACACTGTCTAGGCATTCAGTAACCATGAATCAATACAGTCACTGATAAAAACAGGTGGATATTGAGAAGGCATAAACCTGATAAAGAAATGCGACTTTGCTGTGTTCTGTCCCAGAAATTGATGTGATCATCTTTCTCCCTTTTTCAGCAGAAACTGAAAGGTAAACCAAACCCAGAAAAACCTGAATCTCAGGCTTAGGGACTTCAAGAAATGGAGGACAGGCACAATGAGCAGTAGGTTCCACCCATAAATCAGACTAAGTTCCAGAAACATACTATAATTCAACTCTGTTATATTTTTGTCTGATTTTTGGAAATGTGTGCTTCTGGGAAGTTGAGAATGCTTGAGGAAGAATACAGAAAACATTCGAATGAAAAATAAATGAGGAAGTGTTGTGTACACAAACACAGATGAGTCCAATATAATTGTCTAAGAACAATTTTGGAGATGATAAAAAATGTCTTTGATAATGTTTATTAGACTAAAGTTATTCATGTCCTCTTGCTATCTATTTCAAAAACAGGCAAATAAAGTTTTATGAAGAAATGCTTTTGAAGTTTTGAAGTTTTCTCTTTTTCCATTGGTTTAAAGCAACCAAGGTTAATACCTGTATTTGAACTTATCTCTTATATTTTTGTAGTCATATAGTAGAAGTACCACTGAAATCTGAAATAAAATCAGGACTTTCAAAGGCTAACCAGCTTATCTTCTTGCCTTTAGGCCATAAACTACATGCTAACTACTCTAAAACAGACATATATGTATATATATATATACACATATATATAATATGTATATATTATGCATTTATATATGAGAGAGAGAAATGTTCAAGGTACACAAATAATACACAGGCATGTGAAAGGTAAGCTAAAAAAATGAAAGTACCCACATTTAAAATTTTGTATAAACAAATAATGTTTCAATATATTACTTTGTTAAGTCACTTTGTTATCCAGTGATTTCCATACATAATGAATTGATTGAGAAATTTAGATGCATCCTTAACATTTTTTATAAAGTCCCATTGTTATTACAAGGAAAATATGACAATGGTAACAGTAATCGTGTCTGCATGGAAGCTTCAGAATTTTCTTTAGTTTTATGTTTTCTTTGATTACAATGAGCATAATATTGTTAAAGAAGTAATTAAGAAAATTTTCCCATGTCCATAAAATGCCTGCTAACACTATAGTGATCAAAATTTACATTATGCAAATGGAAATTTAATAAGCTAGAAGTCTAAATTTCAGAAAAATTTAAATAATTGTACATTATTTTAAAGTCATATCAACAGGAATTGAGTTGCAAAAGGATGACTGGAGAAATTTTAAATGGACATCTACAAAAAAGGCAAATAGCCATATGTAAACCTACTGTCAAAATGATGTATTTTGGATTTTCAAGTGTATTTTTAAAAAGAAGCTAAACTCATGTTTTAAAGGAAAGTTTGTGAGAAATTGCAATGTAAAAAACGATATATGTCCCTTCTCTGTTTGAAGAGCGTTCTAGTGACAGATCAAGCCCAACAGAGGTGGGCTCAATTGCTTGGTCAGAGTAACTTCTGAGGACTCATAGGGGCCAAATAGTCCAAGTGCTATCAAATTGATTCCTTCCCTGACCTGAAACAATCTTGTCGAGCTCAGTAATCTTTTAAGCAAACACTCACATCTGTATACTTTCTTCCCAAAGGAAATTTGGTCTAGAGCCTGATCAAAGGAACACAGAATTGAAATTGGGTGCTTAAAGGAATAATGCTTAAATCAATGAGGGCTGACAGACAAGTCTACTTACCATGTTTTTCCAGGTGCTGACAGCAGCTGTCCACCAGCCTAGGGACCTGTCTGTAAATAGGATTCAGACTGAGTTTCTTATCTCTGGCTTTTTCTTTTTTATTTTGAGCCTCAGCAGGCAAGGAGAGTTGTAAAGCTTCTAATAGTCGAGACTGGTTGTCATCCAGATCAGTGATAGAATCCACTGACATGGCACCCTGCAAATGACACACAGACTTTAAGAAGATAACAGAGAAAAGAAAAAAAGCTGCTTCCAGGTGCTACCCAGTAACTACTTTTGCCCATGACTATTTATCACTCTCAAAATAATACTGCTTGATTTAATTAATTGTGATGTTCATATGTAAAAAGGAAAAAAATCAATGTTTTTTGAAAAAGTTAGGAAATCCCCATAACATAGGGTAAGGTATTGGTAGTTGCAATTTCAACAATAGACAAAAATTTCCAAGTGGAAGACAAGAGATGGGAAACATATAATTAAAATATTTTGACCTAACCACTTCATTTCTTGAAACAAGAAAAAAAATCACATACTCAATGAATGAGGTAAAGTTAGAGAAGTCTTATGATAAAAAAAACAAAAAAACAAAACCAAAAAACCTCAAGTATGACTATAGGAAGTAGATTTTTTTAAAATAGGAAGATTCCATAGAACAGTCTTAGGTTAGCTTTCTCCATAAGCTATTAGGGAGATGGTCCCAGGAAATACCTGTAAGGGAGTTGGGGAACTGAGTCAGGGGAGGGAAGGTGGCCAATGAAGGGAGCATTGCCAAGTCAGTTAGCATTGTAGACAAGCAGAGGTGAATTTCCCTGGAGAACTCTAGGAGACAGTGCAGTTCATGCACCTCAGAGCCTATACCCACAAGGGTGAGGGAACTGGAGAATTTAAACACTATGTCTTAAGAAGCATTGATTATGGAGAGCCCCTGGTAGGGGCAGGGAAGTGATGATATCTCTTCAGTACTTACAACCTGCTATCTGACTGTGCCAGGAGTTTCTGGCTATCAGAAAAAGCCCTCAGCAAAGAGGAGAGGTGCTGACAAATGGAAGGCAGGCTGCCATGTTAGAAATGGTGACCTTGTGTGCTATAGCCACCCATCCTTAGTGAAGCATACAATTAGAAGTTGACTGCTGGTGTCCTAGCAAAGCCTGGATAGAGAAGAGGACATCTGGGATTGCCTAGGGCCTAGATTCCCAGAAAGCTCAAATTTAGAGTTGTAGTATTACTCTCAAATAGGTTTATATATACTCTGAGAGACAGACTGGCTTGGGAGAGCAAATTCATCATGCAAATTCAAATATTCCATGATTTTGTCATTTCTTCACTTTTAATCATTTTCAACACTACAAAAACAACAAAGGGGGTTCAGGTCTTGCTTTGCCTTGGAAGAGATTGTGAATGTTGAGAAAGTGGGTATTAAGTGGGGATGTGTCTGCAGTATTATCTAAGGCAGTCTTCAGTGGCTGAAGGTGGCAAAGATTTAGGGTCTTTGGGCCAGAGGAAAAGGGAGAGATTTCCCAGTGAGGTAGAACGTCTTAGAGATGCTTATCAGCCGACTCAGCCAAATGCCAGACAGTATGCTTGAAAAACTCAGTTTTCCAAGTTTGAAATATGAAATGCCAAACAACACAGTGCCTAGAACTGTGTACTTCAGAATTGGTATCACATTGTCAAAGTATTCATTTGAAGAAAGCCACATATAGGATTCTATGGGTCTGTTTAAGGGAAAAAATGCTCCGTAGATAAAGAAAAACTGTCGTTGTTTATGAAGATGCCCAACTAATTTATTTGGCCAGGTACATTCTCAGACTGACAATGAAGAAATTAACTAAACTGGGACCTGCCTTTGAGCTTTACAGTCTATTGTGGGAAACCTGGTTAAGACAGCAGGAGATGGCTAAACACATCAGGACCAATGGTGGTAATGTGGAGTGTTGGATGTCACAGGGCATGGAGTAACAGGGAGGGACATCTGGAATCTTCTAGAGGAGCCAAGAAAAGGTTTGAGGCTATGCCAGCTACCATATTCACAGTGCAAATTCTCCCTGAATGGAATGGACACAAATAACATATCCAGTTTTCACGTGCACAAAGACTCAAAGAAGAACCTTACACATCTTTAGTTTTCTAGCATCGGTGTCAGAGGAAATCCTGGCCAACTCACCCTCCTCCTGGCACGAGGAGCTGGTTCCGGGGTGTTTGGGGACGTGGACTCATTTGGTGTTTCTGAGGTTGAGCTGAGAGATGAGTTACTGCTTGAGAGTTCTTTGTTTTGTTTTTTATTTCCAAACGGGAGGAGGGAAGCCACAAAATCAGATGCATCCTTCTGCTCATCCCTCTGTGAGTCCTGCTTAAGTTTATAGGCCCGGTCATTGGCAATGACTTGGGATAAGGGCATTCCAAATGCCTGCGGGATGAATTCTGGAACCATAGAACAGACATTTATGCTCAGAGACTGTCCCAGTCCAGTAAAGACTATCATTCATGCTAAGGGCAAGCATATTGAAATGATTGATTTCTGAAGAATTGTATCCATCAATGAACATACAGAAGTGACTTTGTGTTTATCAGAATGGCCAAAGTTTCAATTTGAATAAATAAAACTAATGGGTATAAATACATATTTTGGAAGCTAGGTCTGTAGTTTTTCTCCATGTGCCTCCTCAAGTTTGTTTTAATACAGAGAAGTGTGACTTTTATTTTTACTTATTCATTTATTTACGTGTGCATACATTGTTTGGATCATTTCTCTCCCGGGCCCCCTCCCCTACCCTCTCCCCTCCTCCCCCCCTCAGTTCCAGGCAGGTCCTGTTCTGCCTTTATCACTAATTTTGTTGAAGAAAAGACACAAGCCTAATAAAGAAGACAAAGCATTTTTGCTAGTTGAGTTGAGGATAGCTATACAGAAATATTCCTAGCATTGCTTTCATGTGTACGTGTTACGACCCATGTTGATTCATCTCTAACTGATCTTTACACTGGTTACTGATCCCTTTCTCATGATAACCTCTGTCGCTTAAAGGTTGCTGTATTAGCTCCTCTGGAGTGGGGACATTAAACGCTTTCACGTTTTGGGTTTTCTACCTATCCCCATACCTCCCATATGTGCTCTCACCTTGTCATGTGATCCAAGTCCAACCATATTGCTGCATTTGCCCTAGATCTAAAGTCCGCATATGAGGGAGAACATATGATTTTTGGTCTTCTGAGCCTGGCTTCAGATCTGAAACTCTGAAGTTACTACAGGAAGAAGCAGGAAACACTCTGGAACTAATAGGTATAGGCAAGGACTTCCTCAATAGAACCCCAGCAGCCCAGCAACTAGGAGAAAGGATGGACAAATGGGACTTCATAAAATTAAAAAGCCTCTGTACAACAACAGAAATGGTCTTTAAATTGAAGAGACCACCCACAGAGTGGGAGAAAATATTTGCCAACTATACATCAGACAAAGAACTGATAACCAGAATACACAGGGAACTTAAAAAACTAAACTCTCCTAAAATCAATTAATCAATTAAAAAATGGGCAACTGAACTAAACAGAACTTCTTCAAAAGAAGAAATTCAAATGGCAAAAAAGCACATGAAAAAAATGCTCACCATCTCTAGCCATAAAGGAAATGCAAATCAAAAACACACTAAGATTCCACCTCACCCCTGTTATAATGTCATCAAAAACACCACCAACAACATGGGTTGGGGAGGATGTGGGAAAAAGGAACCCTCGTACACTGCTGGTGGGAATGCAAGCTGGTGCAACCACTCTGGAAAAAAATTTGGAGACTTCTTAAAAATCTAAACATAGACC